TTGATACTGTCTTACCCCCACCAAAAGATCTGCTTGAAGATTATAGCTATCGACATTTCACTTTGATTAGCCTACGTCTGTGCTGTAAATATGTAGTTAAGTTTTGTAATCTCTCCTTGCTTTAAATCTGCTGTATAAGTCTTATGACCACAAATCGCTGTAACGTTACATTTATAGTCGTAAATTGAATAACTAGGTATTGTTGTAATTTCGCATTTTAAGTTTGTAGTGTATCAATTGCGACATAATGTATTGTTTAGTGAATAAAGATATTACAAAAATGTAATATTTCACTCCATGTCCCTCCCCAAACAAAAATAGAAGATTCTGAATAAATCATACTGCAATTATACGAGGACAAGTTTTTGAATCTCGACAGCTTTATTTACAACAAGGGAAATCGTAGATTTCAAACCTCCGGGTTTTTTTTTCTATTGGTTTAGGTAATTTGTTTGTGTGTAGTATGAAAGTTATAATGTGCGTAATATGTTTGTATGCCGGTTTGATGGCTACTGACGGTTGGTTCGGTATGGACTGTTGATTAACGCAGTGTTCGAAATACTTTTTTGAGCAAAGTAGCACAGTGTGCTACCTAGGGCAAAAACTAGGTAGCGCAGCAGAATTTTAGGTAGCGCCACGCCCCCCCCCCCATTTGTCAAATTCTATGCACGTGTCGCAATACTATATTTCTTCCAATCATAGAGGTATAATACCTCCATGCTCTAATAAAGTTACTATTTTTGAGGTTTCAACTCTGAAGTAGGAGCTCTGGGTCGAAGCCAAATTACGGGTGCGTGATTTATTCTGGTTTTCTACTGAGAAAAATCGGGACAGTATTTGCGCCGGGCAGCCGGCCATGTACGCGAAATGGTACGCCCAGTATAGCAGCGATCTATTCATGTTTTATGTTTACAATTGTGCAAATTTTTTTTACAGAAATTTGATCACATATGCTTAAAAATATTGTTATACTGATGTTAAAAAATATTTTAAGACACTGAATCGCTGGCTGTGATGTGCAGCAGTGTACGTACGCCGCGTAGCGTGCCAGACATTGACCGTGCAAGCCTATAGAATGCCCCACTTGCGACATAAATCTCTGAGGCTTATCGTGCGCATCCACAATTATTCCCATCGTAAACATAGTCACTGGGATCTGAAATGCATACATACAGGATAATTTCCCTTCTTCAGCGGGAGTTTTGTTTATGTTTTGATCGTACACGTCAAACTGCCACGCTGGTCTACGCTGCGCGCTGGTCTCGGCTGCTCTTCCGGGTTCCTAAATCGACACCATAAATCGACAAAGAAACAAATATTTCCCCCCAAATTTATATTAATTGTGCATTTTTTCACTAAATGTGGCTATGCAGTCCTGGAAAACAGCGTTTTAATAGTGCATATTTTCAAACAGAAAAATCGCGTCCCCGCGCCCTTCATGTTGCCGCCCGGCGATCTCAGCTGAAGCGAACAACCAATCAGAGACGCGTAACGCGGATACGTCATGCAAGATTTGCATACGCCCGCCCACCGCTTCTGCTGGCTGCTGCCATGCTAGCTACGCGCCGTACTTGAAATAAATTGACGTGTATCGCCGTATTTCTGGAAATAAATGCCGCGACACGAAGATCTAGCGCTGACTCGGCTTGCACCCAGCGTTCAGCGTCACCCGCGCCATTAGCCCCGCCGTCATCCCGCGCCGTCATTGCTGCGCCGTCACCCAACGTTTTTATCGGAACCAGACACCCCTCTGTTTGACCCCTTTTAAATGGTAAGACCCAAAACTGAAACCTCCCCATTCCTTAACAACATGGTAAATTCCATTTTCAGCATAACGGGGGTGTCCGGAGCACTTAAAAACCTTTTATTTCGACGCCCATAAACACATATGCAATTAAACAAAAACGTTCTGCATCATCTGCAGCCCAACAGCAATACGTATACCGAACAACAGACCAATCCGTCCAGCCGATCGCGAGAAACAGCTGCTGACAGAAATGTTTCGAACAATAGTAAAACCTCCTCGCGGAAGGATATCTCCTTCCCCGGAGGTAAAAATGTCACTTGGCAATTATCTCCCAATCTCTCCCAAAGTTATATATTGCAGGTATCTAAAACCTACTACTAATGACGAGATTGTAACTACAACTAACTTCACTATCTGAGAAAAATGGACATGTTCACGGAACTATATATTCACGGTGGTGACAGGTGCAGGAAAAAGAAAGTCCAGGAATTATTTTCTAACTGTAATGATAAGTTAACGATACAGAGGTGACAGTGAAAACCGTAAACATAAAGGTACGGTGAAAAACAGGAATTACAATAATCAATTAACGGAGTATGTTTGCCTAGTTTCCAGATGTTTTGTATGCATATATGATTGTCGTAAACTTAATTTGGAAATAAACAAAAATCGATACACGAACAGACGCCATCCATATAATCAAATCAACATGTCCTTATTCACAATCACAGAAAAAATGAAACCATACATTGAATAAGCTATATATATATATTATATACTATAATCATCATAACCTTTATTTTTAATATCATGCCGGTAGGCTAATTGCATGTACAGAGTGAAAGAAAGTAAAGTAAAGCAGTAGAATTTCTGTACTAGCTATGATAGTACTTCATATGATTCGTCCTCATCATCATCATCATTCAATGTGGTCTTTCTCTTGCTGCTAGTGACTGGTAAGACCTAAGTAGATTTTTCACCCTGGCAGAGTGCCTTACTTCTTCTCTCTTGACAGCTCAATACTTTTGTGACAACATCAAAGTGATTTTGGTTTGTATGTTGGAAAAATACAAAACATTCTAAGCTATTGACACTTATGAGTAAGAACAATGAGTTTGTGAATGTTAAAAGCAAAGCAACGGATATTAAAAAGAAAATTTTAAAATTAAATGTTAAAAAAGGTCTAATTGTAAAAAATGTAAAAGTGTTAAAATATTTAAATGGTTAAAATTGTAAAAAAAATATTAAAATTGTTAAAAAAAGGTTCCGTGAGTGGGGTACAAAAAGCCTGAATTATCGTCTTCCGCGTTACCAACCAACCGAGCTAACTGTTCTCGTACCGTTTTGCAACGCATATAAAGAACTTAATATTTTATAAACCAACATGGCGGTATCTATAACCACGGAAAATTGTTTAAAACTACGACGAATTGCGGAAAATACTCAGTTAGGCAATATGTAATTGTATATTTCTTACCTGCCTATCTATTGACGGGTATCCCGCTGGAACCTCGAGCGTTGCGGGCATAAAATATGCATAGTAAGTTTTCGAATCACAACTGTAAACCGAGGGTCTCTTCTTCGGAGAGGTTGGCTAGCTGAATGAAAATAGCCCTGTAGCTGTAACTATCGTGTTTCCACCGCTTTTACAAAACTCCTTTTCCCTGGCCAAACTTGTAAACAAACATAAGAATCTGCCTGAGTAGGTAGAAGAAAATTAATCAATTAGCTATCAGCGAATCAACAGCCAGATCGGCAAACATGGCCACACTTGTTGCATGCTTGCATGCCCATTTATTTGGTCCTGCCCCCGAATCCCTTCCTCATTACGTCACGAGCTTACTCACCCACAGTATCTATAGTAAGAGCTAAAAAAGCAAAAAAGGCCCAAAAAATGAAGGAGTTGAATCAATTTAAAGAAAAGGCAGGAGGAGAAGAAGGAGGAGAAGAAACATGAGGAAATACAATATTTCACTCCTTACTATGTATGGAGTGAAATAATGAAGAGGCGAATCCGAAAACCAACAAATTAAATTGGTGTGGCCTAAGGCCCCCAGAGGTAAACAATTAAGAGTCAAGTACGTTGCTGTGTTTTTTTTTTGCTTTCTGTTTTGTTCTGATGTTTGATGTAAGAATATAAATCAGTTTTTGTCTATTGAAGTTTGAGAAATCAGACACTAAACAGTCTACAAGTCTCGTGGCGTTATTTGCAAGTGAAGGGCCTTAATCTTTGACCCTAGAACTACTGCACATGTACTCTTGCGACTGTTGTGTAGCTTATTAAGGCTACTTCATACTGCTTATATCTACTTTAGACATTCTGTAATGCTAACTAGATTGTAGCCAGACTTCTCGGACAGATAGTCCATGAGGAAGACGGAGATCATGTAACTGTCCGGGTGGTCTGAGTCCAGACTGACGATGCCTCCCTTGTCCTCTAGTTGATTGGCGATGACACGGAGAGCTTTGGGAACCCTCTCCACGTCTCGGTACTTGTAGTAGTTTGCAACAGACAGGAGCCACTTTTCTATTGAAAAAAAGGTGCCACATTATTGTGTCATATGGGACATTATACTGTGAAAAAATTGAGGCATCGACAAATACAAAGTGTACATTCTTTAAAATTCTGACACTGAACAAGATTATTTGTGAGAGGAGGAAAGGAAACCATCTACATCAGGGCCCTTTAAACTTCATTAGACCAGGACGGGGGATGCTACAGACTTTCCTCCACCTTTTACCCATTGCTTGATTTCGGAAACTGACATCTACTGAGCTGTAAGACTCTCAACCAGAGGACTGCTAAAGAGTCCAGTACCTGTGTTTGATGATAGTTTAACATTTAATATTAAGATATGGACATATTTGGTAATTGAAGAAAATCACCATCTCTAGGAGGGAAGCGAGCTGTCGGTTGGAAGATCCTCAGGCCCCGAGACTTAGCTTCACTTTTCACGGCATCTGTCACATGCTCAGGAAAGTAGTAGGCTGTCTGTAGGTCCACTTCGCTCAGGCGCTGTATCGTGCTGACCAGCCCCATCCGGATCCAGCTCTGTGCCTGTAGCGTGAAGTGCCCTAGCGGAAATGGTTGGCCCTGCAGGTGAAAACAAGAAATCTGAGATTTTACACTTCTTTTGGAGGGTCCTTCATGCAATTCTGGGCTTCCTGAATTCCCCCATGTCAACATGTTGGCTCCTAGATCCAGTACAAAAGTATTGTTTGTATGTTTTACAACGTGATTTTTTCGAGCGTTGCGTAGCGAAAATCCGGATGGTACCCAGGCTACGAAACTTGTCATTTACATAATAGAAGGTATTTTACGTATATCTTGATTATTACATGTAGTATGGCATTGCAAAAAAAGGAGGTACACATCTAAAACAGCGCATGTGCAGTATGATGCATTGTGGGTAATTGCCAAATGCGAAAGCCCCTGAGACATAAACAAAACACTTTCAGACATGCACAAAGCAAGGTCTGGTGTCTTTTGATTACGTCTCGGGAGCGCTTCATCTTTGACCCCGAGCATGCGCAGTGGTAATTGTGAACCTCCTTATACCTAATGCAAAAAAAAAAAGCCTCGTTCTCACCTCGCGCATGCCTATAGTGAAAGTTTTGGCCCATTCTGTCACCAGTTCGGGAAACGTTTCCACGAAGTCTCCATAGAGGAAGAGCGTGACGGGCATCCTGCTGGAGTGAGCCGCGATGGTCTCCACCAGCTTGTACGCCGCCTTGGCGTTCATACCGACCAGGACTGCCAGCGTCAGGCGGGGGGCACCCGAGGGAGGCGCATGGCAGCCGGAGTAGACGGTCCCTGGTGTGCCTACAAAACTCTCGGAAACCTTGAATGGAAGGAATTTTCTATTATAAAGCTTAAAGTTAAGACTTTAAAAGAACGTAAAACACTACTTTAACTTATCTTTACACAATCCTACTGCTGTATTCCTAAAGAGCCTAGTCACCTAGGTCACGTGACCCTACGGACGCATGACGCCAGCAATTGACCAGGAAGTCTATGCCGCCCACCGCCCGACAACGGCCTTTGGACACCTGCCTGCGATCTGTCGTAAGCACTGTCAGCCAATTGGATAATCCCTTTCCTGTTGTTGGTGGGAAGGCTACCAGCCAGTCACGTTGCCTCTTGTTCGTACGCGACGACGTGATTGGTTGGTGAGGGCTGGGCGTGGCTAACGCTAACGAGCCGTCTTCAGCCAATCACGTTGCTGGCCACGCTGGCTTGGCACTAGTTACTATTATGCAGTTAGAAGAAGGTCCAAATGGATACAGGGCGGCCAATGGATACAGGATGGCCGATGGATACGGCCTTTTGCCACCCAACCGAAAGATCTGCTTGGAGATTATCAAGGAGCAGCGGGTATGGTGTTTTAGGGTAAGCTGGAAATAACGCTTTGTTCTTTTTGATCTACACGTTCGATTTTCTTCTAAGTCCATGTCGATTTGATTATATGGATGACATCATCTGGGAACCCCAAAACTGATGCGAGCGTGCGAATAAACAAAAATTTCAAAAGTTTTCATTATGAAATCTACGTGATTTTGAAGGTTGAACAAATGACACAGAATATGGTTTGCAGAATAATCTAGTGTTCAAATTCATTTCTTTACTTTTTTGTCTTTTTCGTTTGATTTTGGCATTCTACGACATTGTATCATTTTCCAATGTTTTTCAACCTACGGTATATATTTGCTTATTACCTTCGCCAAGAAGGTTATGTTTTCAGGCTCGTTCGTGTATGTGTGTGTGTCACGGGACACGATAACTTGAGCAGGCTTAAATTGATTGCCTTGATACTTGGTATGTGGGCAGGTCTTGATACCTCAAAATGATTAGATTTTGAGCCACCTGGCGGCTTGTCATGGTACTGCAGCAGAACTTCCGGTTTTGATATCTCATGATCCAGACATGCTAGGAAGACGAAAGTTAGATGGTAGATAGCTCTTGTGCTGGGGGTGAAGTGACATGAGTTTGAGCTCCCTAGTTGCTTGCTCTAGAACTGCAAGGGGGGGGGGGG